CAGCCAGTAAGAGGATCCTTTCCTTATTCCGGTTTCAAGAATTCTGTACTTTGAACAATTGCTGGAAACTATAAGGCATAGCATAAGCAAAAAGCAAACCGTCAGGTCATGACCATGTAAGTATATATGAGTTGACTTGATTTCCCCCCCCACACGCACACTTAAAACAGCTCCACATGTTCAACACCAGAACTCTGTCTATTGGTTGCACAGGAGACTGGAACAAAGCTGGAAAGTGCTGCATGAGTTCATTTCATCATTGTCACCAGGGTGCGAATCATTTTCAATCCCAAACCAGTACTATGAGTTCTAAGATTTAATTCAGCATTATGGTGGGTTGCAATTCAGAATGATGAAGTAGTGCCTGAAGACTTCAAAAACATTTAAATAAAATGTCTATACCTTCTTTCCCTTGGGAGAATCATTGAAACACTTCTCAGAATCCCTTCTGACATACAATTTTCACTTCTCCTCTCTGCACCATCAAGGTCCCTGCACCAGTCCCTCAGGACAAAGGAAGGATGGAAATGATTCCTTTCAGTGCTAGTCAAAGGTGCCTCTAACATCCAGAGAAGTTGCGGAAGAACAATGTGAAATCAGACCTGCTTTTTGGGCCAAGCAAATGATACTTTGGGATTCTACTAATCTTCTGATCCTGGTATGTTTATTACCCTTACAGTTATAGCTGCTTAATAATAGCTACTCCTCTTTTCTTGTTTTTGTTTTTGACTTTGTTTTACGGAGCTTCAGTAAAGCACTGATGGACAGTGACATAGCAAGTAAGTTTGGCACCCAGGGCAAAGCATGCAACAGCAGCCTGCCCTCTCTGCACACACAGATCCGGAGGGTCACATGCCCCCCATGATTGTCCAGGACTGCACGCAGCAGTGGAAGCCTTCCTCCCCCCCATCCCCGCACCCACTCCCCAAATGAGCTGCTTGAGGCTCTGTCCCACACCCTGCCCCAGCTGGGCAGTGCCTGTTGGCACCCCTTTGCTTCGGTGCCCAAGGCAGTTGCCCCACTTGCCCCCCACTTGCTACAGCACTGCTGATGGACATAGAGGAACAGGCTTCAGAGAATAAATTTAGCATTCATGAAAGGCAGTGATCGCACAACCTTGTGATTCGGATGCCTGTCCATTCTTTTCACATGAGCCATCTTCAGATGGGCCAGAAATAAACCTCAAATTCAAACCTGTTTCAGCTTCAAGTGGGAAGGTTCTAAATTGGCTACCACCATTTTGTTCTCAGGTGGGACCAGAATAGGCTGTATACTAATGCCTATTTGAATATGGCCAAAATCTCATATCTAAGATTTTCATCAGCGTCTGATGAAGTAAGTTGCTGCTTATGAAAGCTTATGCATATCTGTTTTAGTTAGTTGATAAGATGCAAAACTGCCCTTCCTTTTGCCGGATACTCAGAATAATCACTGATTATATCATATTGTTGGGACAATTTTTTACAAGATTTCAACAGCACTGAATCCAGATGCAAATCTAGCTCTTTTAGAGTTTAACCCCAGAGAGCAAACTGTAGAACTAAGCCTAGATTTATTAGGCTCTTCAAGCTGTTTCCTCAGTATCCTTCTCAGTCCTGTCAGTCAGAGCCTGGGCCATCAATGAATTATTAGCAGAATCAGTCCCTGAGAAGTAAAAGACTCCACACCACTTTAATATCCCTATGATCTAGGATCAAATATGGCTAATTCATTTTTTTCTGTTTTTCTCTTTAGTTTGTGGGGGAGGGAGGGTTATGGTAAAGCTATTTTTCCTTTTTCATTTTCTGTAGTAATTCATATTGCTGAAATAGCCCCTTGCTAGAAGAAAGTTCTATTTTCAGTCGGTCACAAAGTGATGTCTTTATTTTTACTTAATATGATTTTTAAGGAAGAAAATAAGAACAAATGTGAATAAGGATAATCTATTCCAAAGATTTTTGTTTATCAATGGACAAATTCTTTTGCTTGAAAGAAACCTGTATAACACCTTGATTGTATTACTACTTTATATTTACTGGCATAAATAAACCTGCAGCTTTGCTGCTAGAAAGGCAGCTGTTTTAAAGATGGCAAAAAGTCAGCTCCTGGATGGTTGGTTTCATTTAACAGGGCTTCACATGAATTTATGAACTGTTCTGTAATGTCTTCTGCCTGCACCGAATGGCAGATTTTAGGCAGAAACCCAATGTATGTTTAACTAATATTAACAAACATAGTATTTACATGGTCTGTGGACCCTATTAGGAACCAAGAATGGTCACTTTCTGAGTTTACTGTTATTAAAGTACTTTCCACAGCAACCAAAATACAGTGTTCCTTGCTCAGAGAAAGCCAGTAGTGTGTGTGTATGTGTGTGTGTGTTTGTGTGTGTGTCCTTTATTTTAAAATGCCTTTAACAAAACTTTTGACAGTTATCTTATTTTCTTCTACTGCAAGGGTGACAATATAGTTTAAGATATTGTTTCCTGACTGTAAAGGTGCCTTGTGGTTTTTTTAAGAATATTTCAGAGGCTAAAGAAATTCTGCTGCAAACACAGAGTACCAGTTCATTTCTTAAGCAATAAATGGCAAGCAGGGTGGTGCTGAATAAGCATGCTTATATGGAATTTCTCGTTGAAAAGCCCACTAGTTAGGCCCTATAACACTTCAGTTGATATTTCTACAGTGCAAACACGATAGTGAAAATTAAGTTGCCGCAGCAAATTCAGTTTAAGAGAAATTTGTTATGAATAAAATGCTGCTGCTGGCCTTAGAACATTGAATTTATCCACCAAATAATATCTTAGAAATACCACTTCAGAAGAAATCAGCTCTAAATAATTGATAAATTTGGTTTGTTTAGAAACCTTTTGACCCCTGTAATAGAAAGTAAAAACACATTTCAGTTATTAAAGTCACATATATTCCCTCTGGTAGGGGAAGCTTTTAATTTTAAGCTGGGCTCTGTTGGGGCCATTTGATAAAGCTTGGAAAAACCTTTTCAACTGCTGCTGGTGGATTTGGGTCAGCTTCCCTTGGGAAAATGGCAAAAGATAAATTTGTAGCTTTTCATAACACATAAGAAAACTTCAGAGATTTTAAACATCAAGACCTATTGGAACTGAAAGACAGACTTTTCTCTTTTGTTTCTCCCCCTCCCCCTTCCTCCTCCTCCTTTTTCTTCTTTTTCTCTCCAAAAGGACTTTAAATTCTCTTGTTGTTGTAATTTTTTTTGAACTATGAGGCTATAGTGTTTTGGCCTCTCTAACTACATAACTAGTGCTCCTTATTTAAAGATTTATTCTTAGATAGAAACAGCCTCAGTGGTGATTTTGTTTCCAAAATCTGCTATTTCAATACAGAGTTTTTAAGCCTAGAAAAACATTTAAAAATATCTCACCACATTTTTAATACCATAGTTAAACTTTGCCTTTTTCAGATTCACAGATTTGCATGTGTTAAAATACAATTTAAGGACATGTTGTCTAAATTATAATAATAACTTATTAATGACAAAAATGCTAAGAGGATCTGAAAAATGCCCCCAGTCTTGCCATAACTTTTTTATATGAAAAAAGAGTGTTGGGATTTGATGCCCATGAAAGATGCCAGAGTAAGATCCCTGAAAACATCTAACAGTTTAGCCATCCACTTGTGCATAAAGTAAATACTGCAAAGGCAACAGCAGTGCATGTGTCCCCCATGCCACCCCATGTATCTTAACTATGTGGGACAACCACTTGTAGTTGAGCTGGTTGTTCAGATGCCATGTCACTTCAGTCTTCAGAACCTGTAAGTGCCAATTCCAGTTTGCTCCATGTAATGTGAATGTGTGTCCATCATGAATTGGACAGAACCCACCAAATTCACTTATCGCCACTAAACAGGTCAGGCAGGAACGACTTGAATTCGTCACCGCATTAGAAGAAGTGGTATAGAAGAGAAAAGGTTGCATATTGTATTGCCAGCTCCAGAAACATTTAATTTCTGTCCTCATCTTCTTAAATAAAACCAAACACCCATCTGCAATTCGAATGTACAGTTGAGCTCATTGATATTAGTACATAAATTGAACCAATGGTGAAGCTGGAGAACTAGATAGATATGATTAAAATAAATGATCTTTGGGGCAGGGGGTTGCAACAGAATTTCATATTAAATATGGAAATATCAATTGTGAAATTACAAAAAAAAGATAAATTCTTGCAAAACAAGTGTGCTACCTTCTACCACTCATCTGACAATTTCCTGTTTTGCTTAAATAGAATGTTTGAGAAGGATGCTGCTTCAAGGTGGTGAAAACAACAGTCTCTTTGTGAAAACAAGGCTTCACTGGGCAGCAAAAGATTTCTTTTTGCCTTTTAATGCTTGGCCGCTATTCCCAATCCAGGTCTTTTTATGGCACAGACTTAGTAGTAAATTATTAAAAGGACCTCTACTGGGTATGCATCTGTGCAAGCAGAAATGATGTGTGTACATGCATGTGTCTTTTCCGGCCGGGTGCAGTTGCTTTGTGTGTATTTTAACAATTCAAGGATTTGCATCATTTTAATCGAATAACAATTGTATTTGAACAGATAGCTGTGTGCGCAAATTTCACCCTACACAAATGGAAATCAACCCTTAAGAATTTGTCTCCTGGAGGGTTTGTATGCATGGAGACGTTTGCATGAAATAAGCTAGGAGGTAACAGTATAGTCCACTCACTACTCCATGGTTACCCTCGATGTGGACATTTTTAGAGCAGAATTTTACTTCCCTTGGCACACCTAAAGGCAGTTTTTAGCTGTACAAGTGGCATTTTTAGCACTAACATGCAAGTAAGTAGAAATTTAACTTCCCCTGCAGTGTGGCCACGTAAGCAAATACAAAGAGACTAGGCATGCACAGTGGGCTACACACTGGCAGAGTAAGTAAATGGCTACATACACACCCCCAAGTGTAAGTCCAGGAAAAAGCGTAGGGTGGAGCAGGATCCTTCCAAGTTTTCACCTCAGTAACTAAGTGATTAGGGGACTCACCCAGGGAGACAAAGACCCCTTCCAAGACAGCTTCGCTCTCAAAGAGCCATACACCATACAGCTTGTCCTCTTCTTCCTGGTCCCACTTATTGCCTCTCTTGGCTGTCAAAATGCACACTGGAGAGGAAATTTGATAGTACCTAACCCATAGCATGGTAGCTAGAGCACTGTACTGACATGTCAGAAAGATGTAGAATCAAATCTCTTCCAGTTGAGGGAGTCTTAGAGCTCTTGTTTTCTGGGCAAGTGCCCTAACCACTCAGCTACTGGGACTAAAACATGGGAGGTCCTACTACAGAGTCTAATACATTCTGGGGTGGGGGTTGTCCAGCTATGCTTTTCAGACCTTTAGAAATAGGTACACATAAAAAAAATTGCATGTACATAGCTGTATATGTACCCAGGCAATGTACAGCCTGCTGTATATGCTCAGTTTATATACACATGCTTCTGCATCCACACTAGAGGGCAAATTGAATCACCTATGTGCCAGAAATGCCACTTACGCAGCTAGAAAATTGTCATTTAAATGCACAGAGGGAAGTGGAATTCCACTCTTAGTGTGCAAGAGATGCAAGATAGCTTACTTTACTGTCATATTTTATACCAAAGGTAGAACATATTACCTGTCATTGACTGTACCTTAAGGCTAAGTACAGACAGTCAAAAAGCCTGAGGCTGAATCAATTCAGTCTTTGCAGGTTAGTCTAAGCTGCAAAGATTAAACTGAGGAACAACTGGACACACATTCACTTTTGTTTCAGGGATTTGCAGCCACATGCCTGCAGTGGCCTATGCTAGAAGCCAAGGGGTTCTACAGTACAGCTCTCTGGCATGTAGCCAGCATGGACTGTGTGTTTGCTTCCTCTTCCTGCTGCCCTCAAGGTCTCAGGGTTTTGCAGTCCAAACTCACAGCAGCAACACTCGGTAAGATTGTTCATCACTTCCTCTTTCTGCTTCCAGGTACCTCTGGGATTTTTAGTCTAAAGTCACAGCCAACAGTAAGTTTAACAGAGCAGGGCAGCTATGTACCCAGGGGAAGAGGGGATTAATCCCCCACCCTGGCCCCAGACCTCCCCACCCCCTC